GCACAATCATAAAAGCTGAATATATCATTTGGTATCAATCTGCATGAAATTTATTTTTCACTATTAATGAGGCATGACTGACAAATAATATTTCCATAAATAATTCTCTGCAATATCATTAAAATGCAAAAATTTTAAATTTATGTGGCAAATCTAGTACAATTTTTTTTAAAACTACAACTAGCTATAACTCTAGGTAAACAACTTATGCTACAGTTATTTTTTTAAACTAAACTCACCCTACAACACCAACTTAAAATAGTCACATGGAGAGATAAATTTTATTTATGTCTTATTGTAAGGGACATGGGAATCAAGAAAATGACTCTGAAATCATAACAAAGGAAAAGATATATTTATAAAACACATACAAAATCTTTAAATATTAGATCAACATCACTTTATTCAAAATAATAAGTCATCTTTTATTTAACTGTATGCTCTATTATTCATAAATTAAAGAAAAAAGAGAGCAGGTAAATCATCTTACAAAGGTGAACATAATTTTCAATGGCAAACTATGTGGCAAAAACTTGATGAGAAGATTAATTAATGTATTAAAACTCTTCTTTTAAGGCACATGGTAATCAGAACCAAGGAGTCTCAAAGGTTGACCAGAATCCAATGTCCATTCATGCTTCTCAAGAAGTCTGTCGTGTTATCTCTTGACTTATAAAATAAGAAGAATTTAAAAATACCTTTTCTCTATAATTTGGCCTAGGAAAAATGTGATATAACTCACTTAAAATTTTTTTCTTGTGTATGAATACATGGAAATATTTATTGGGTTGATTGTAAAAAGCAAGTAAGGCTGATTATATGCAGATGGTTATAAAATCATTATTATGCACTAATTTCTTTAATTTCAGTGGATATTCTACTAACCGCCCCCCTCCGCAATGCACACCCCAAATAAAAGGGAAACCAGTGCAACTTTTTAAGTAAGGCAAGAAGGTATCCTTGGTAAAACAGTATCAGGACTAGGAGAACACCTAGTGCCATTATTGTGATTCTACAGTTTTCTAGGTTATGAATCATCTCTATTATGTGACAGCAACAAAGGTATCGCATGGTAAATGAGAAGTTAGTATAGCTCCACGTGGGTTTTAGAGGACTCTAAGAGGAAGTGGCTGAATTTCTATGAACTCTTAATGAGCCCCTGCAATGTGTCTGGCATTGTGCTGGGCATTCCCAACAAATATCAATGCAGGAAGCTGACAGTCTACTAAGGACTAGTGGTTAATATTATTTTTATCATTACAAAGTTAAGAAATCATTGTGACCGGTGGCCCCCAAGGTCCTATTTTGCAGCAGTAGGTTGGCAATCAATGATACCACTCCCTTTGGGGAACTGGGTGCGCTAATATGAAGTTTATCAAAGGCAAAAAAAAGGGGGAGATCAGAGATGAGCCAAGGTCTCAGAGGGGCACTTTCACCTGAGCAAATGCCACAAGAACTTTTAAGTCTGCTGTCCAAAAGCACACTTTCTTCCTTTAGGCTTTCATTCATCTGATCCACAGACAAGATTGATGGATTGTTGCTCTGCTAGTGAGTGTTGGAAGGGAGAGGGGTGCATACAGAAAGGGATGTCATTTGGCAATATACAATGATATCAATAATTCAAAACATTCTGCAAGGCTTAAAAGCATAATCAGTTGTCAAATTTTCACTCATCAAATCTCGCCTTTCAGCAGGCAGTCATTTAGAATGAATGTGGCTCTAAGAAAGGAGAAATGGATATATGGAACCAAGACAAAAGATGGGTGAAGAAATGACAGGTAAATTGTCATAGTAAATTTAAACACGGAAGAACCAAAGTGTGTGATACTATAAAATTCATATATCTGTAATTTCTCCAGAAAGCAATATTAAAAATAAAAACCAAGTTACACTTATTAGGTAACGTATGATCCTACCTTATGGTCTCTTGTTTCTTCCAGCCTAAGGCCTACTGCTTTCCTAAACATAGCCTTCTCCTCTGCCTTTTCTTCTTATACTATCTTTACCCACAGCCCCGGACAGGCCAATCTTAGTAACCACACAAAGTATGGCTCGGCAAAAGCCAGAAGAGTTGACTACTAGATAGCCACTAATAGTTGACTACTACATAGCCACTAATGTCCATATTTTCAATTTATCAAACTATTTCAATAACCACTTGAAAATGTACTGAATTTAATTTTAATGATGGAATCAGTGATGCTCATTTGTCCTTACATATCTCAGATGTAGTATCTGGTCTCAGTCACAGTAAATCTCTGATCATAGGTCAAACCCAGGTGGCAGGACCTTCTCAACCAAGAGGATGGGTGTCACTTTCAATAAATCCTGTGGTTCTTTACCTCATCACAAGACTCATGAATCTGACATACATTTACAGATAGATAATACAAGTGTCAGTTACTTCTCTGCTGAGTTAAGCTGGGGTAATGAGCTGTATGATCCACTTGGCACTCATGTATTTATTGAGAGGCTGTTATGTGTTCAGAACTAAGTCAGGTGCTCTAAATACTATACATATACCATGTGCATGTATAGTAAATACATATACTGTGTTTTTATCTTTATATAGTTCATTTAATCCATACAGCTCCTTGGGTTAGACAACCAAATACCCCATGGGGTCATAAAATCATAAAGTGACAATCTTCAGTAATGGCATATGCACATTTTAGCTGTCATGTTTTATGCTATAGCCAGATAGTAGATTGCTACTTATACATATTTAAATTAATGATATCAAGAGAGTGGTTCATTTAAAATACAAATAATTCTCTTGGTTTAAAGTTTATTTTTGACACAGGTTTGGGATGAATAAAACTTTTATTCTCATAAAGACCTACTAGTATGTTTTATTCTAAAATTTAAATTATTCCACATTTAAATATTTAGGAACCTTAGATGCACTAAAACCCAAACTGAAAGTACGGACTATATCACACTGTGAAAGCGAAGCCAAGGCTCCTAAGACCACCTTAGCTTGAAAAAAAAAAGTAAACTCACAAGTTCTGTGAAGCAAGATACTGTGAAAGTTTGTCAAATAGATTTTTAGTGATTTTAATCAAGCAAATAATGACAATATCAAAGTATTACCTATTAATAGGGTTATGTTTTTAAAAATGTACAACCTAGTATATTATTAATATTTTTCACTGCTATGTAAAATTATTAAATTGAATTGAATTTACATTTTAAAAATATTAAATTATTAAATTAGGAAAATGTTTGCAAAGTAAAAAAAAAGTAGTAGAGAATCTATACTGGCAAAAAGTTCCTCAGAATGGAACAGACACAGGGATATCTTAAATGATCTATTAATATATAAGAAAATTGATCAAGATTCATAATATAAATTTATAACTTATTTTAGGGATATCTCCTATAACTTAATCACACACAATAAATGTTTCCACTATTCCTAAATAAAAAATCACTTTCAAACTTCCATTTGCATTTTATTGTTTCTTTTTAGCTATATTCTCAACCAATACTTAAAAGTCTTTGATTTAATCTCTTGCCTATGTAGTGTTCCACAGATTTGTGAGCAATCAAAAAGTGAAATTTTATTGCTTAACAATACAATATGAATATAATATACAAAGTTAAATATTGATTTCATGTTTTCTAATTTGCCTCTTGAATTGTTGGTTTGTTGTGTGCAGCATTTTTATACCCAATAAAAGTATACCTTGTAATACATGCAACCCACACCAGAATTGTTTTCTCAGTGTGCCTACTAATTTACTAAATCTTCTGTCAAAATTAAAAATATCAGCTTTTATAGCTTTTAAAATTGTAAGATTATTGATCATATTTAAAATTTGTACTAGATGACATATTTGTGCAAGAACTTCTGAATTACTGTTATATGAAGAATATGATGAAAATAGCAATAGGGTTTTCAATATTTTTGTTGTAATACAACAAACAGATACACATGTTTGAAACAGTAATAATACACATAATATAAGAACAATATAATTAAAATACAACTCATAATTAGACAAAATAGATTTCTTAAATTCCAGTGAGAATTTCAAAAATTCTCTTTTTTGGGGGCACAAAGGGCTACCCATATTCAAGCAGGAGTAATATTAATATAAGTAAGAAAATAGAGATAACTACATTTACTAATATATTGATTTGAAAAGAATACTTAATAAATTTACTTTTCTTCAAGATAAAAAATAAAAAATGTTAGTACACATTTATAAACACATCAAAAAAAATTAGTCATGGGTGGATGCCACAGAAAGGAATGATGCCACATTAATGGGAAAAAATAGTAAAAGATAAGAACATGGACACGGACATAAGAACATGGATGTTTAATGCAATACAAAGATGAATTTAGTTAAGCCAGTATTAATCTCAAATAGTGCTGGCTTTCTAGGTCTGCAATGTATTCATTACAAAATCTATATATGAATTTGAAAATAAGAATACCAAAGTACTCTGTAACCTTCAAAATCTACATCTTTAAAGTAAGAGTAACATTTAATAAAATGTGAAACAGTGTAAGAAAGGGTCATCAGAAATGCTTGAAAAATAAAATTATATTTTATTTAATATGGTTCAAACTATACATTAACTCAGAAAAAACATTGTAGAATTCAAATTTTGGCAGTGATCCCTAAATGATGAAAGAGTAATAAATAATGTAAATTTTCCTATTTTTCTCAAGAGAAAACCCCTATATAATTTCCCAATTAACACGTACAAGTCAGTGAGTTGGGGTGTGGGAAATACACTATAATCTTATAAATGCAGTAACAAATTTATGCCATTATATGGATAAGGTATATAACATTGCTAATGATCTACAACGAGGGCACAAGTTATTTGTGATAAATACAGTGACATTTATGGGGAAAAAATATTCAAGCTAGGAAAATGTTTTTGTTTTTTTTGTTTTCCGATTCTCATGTTTACACATGAGAAACAGCTGGGGGGGGGACAGCTGATTCAATTGAATAAGGAGATCTCAAAGAGGTACTTACTGGCATGACAATGTTGTAGTGGATGCAGAACCCTGGTTCAGAAGGGAAATATTCATCAGATACAAATCTTATCCTGATTTGATTTCCTTTGGAAATCTGTCTTCCTGGAACAGCACCAGAACCACACCAGCGCCCTAGTATAGTCCCATCACTGGGCTCCTCAACTTCTACAAAATCATACCTGTGGACAAAGGGAAAAGAGACACAAGGTCATTATCTGTTATTTTGACAATTCCAAATCCCATGTCTGTGTATGTTATGAATCTGTGGACCACAGCAATGAGTTCATCCTAAATTTACCTGGGTACATAGAATTAAATATTCCAGAGAAGAGATAAAACTGAAAAATGAGCTCTCAATTGAAGAAGCATGAGTCTTCTATTTAAAGCTCTCTAGTTTTGCTGTTTACAAACTCTAAACTCAGTAAACAGCCATCTTAAAACTTAAATATTTTGTAAGAAACAACCATATTTGACATTCAACTCATGAATTATTCAATTTAATTTTCACTTGGACATGATAGTCTTGTTCCTCTCTTAATTCTTACTGTTATTGCCTCTTACTTTCTGAGAGGGATGCTCTCATCCTGGTTGGGCTCCTTCACTCCCTCTCCTCACCTGTGAGAGCAGCTTTCTTTCCTACAGCCACTCCACCACCTACCCTTCCTTCGCGCCCCAAGTCCTAGTCTGCTGCCTCCGGGAGACCTTCCTGGGTGTTCTCGATACACTGTCATCTTTCTCTTTCGGGTAAATACATGAAAATTTTTAACATTAACCACATGTATGTAAGTGCTCCATCTTCTTAGGTTGTTAATCTTTTGAACAAAGAAACCAGTTCTTACATATTTCTATCTTACATTTCACTACACATAGTACCCTAAACATAAGGAATAAATGATTATTTGTTTTAAACAGATGCCAACTATGGTTTGGAAGGTTTAGATCAGAGATACCCATGGAGAGCAGTATTGCCCCAGGAGAGAATGTTTCAGAAATCTGTATAAACATTTTTAGGTTGTCTCCATGATAGGGGCGGGAGGGTACTACTGAAATGTCCAGGAATACTTAACAGTGGAAAGTCCTGAACATGAGTATTTGCCTCATGTCTCCCCTGCCTTTCAAATATTTCATTGGACATATCATGCAGGTGAAATTTGTTACCATTTACTAGAGCCTAGAGCCCACCATTATCTCATGCAGAAACACGTATGTTTTACATTGTTTTAGTTTAAGATAAATTTTAAAGAAATTCAACTATTAAATAGAAGGAAGTTTCTATATTTTGTTTAGAACTTTGCTAAGAGTTACCCAGTCTTTTGGAGAAACATGTCACCAAGACAAAAATACTAGTTATATTATTTATAGCACAATTAAAATAATTAAACATATTCATATTAGTCTATATTTATAGCTGTCACATTCACAATCTATCTCCCTAAAAGATGCAAATATCTCACTACTTCTTTTTATTTTTGTATTGTATTTACTATTTATTTATATATTGAAATACATTATTTTCATGTAAATTACTTTGCTATTATTTCAGCTTTAAATAACATGCAGGTCATTATATTTATTTTCTAAACAATTTCACACATAAATAGAGGATTGCTTCTATGACATGCATTTCAGAATACTAAACAGGACATTGATAACTTCTGTTAAAAGGGAAGTCTGATATGGTTGAAAACCATTAATAGATTAAAAAAATACAGTCTAAATTCAGTGGCTACCAGACAACCAAACATAATATACTTTATGTAGTATTAAATTTACAGAAGAGAAAAATTTGTTGAAAAAGGACAAAGTATATAATGAAAAAAATTATACTTAGAAATCGTCCTTCTAAGTTAGTATCCAGGACGTCATGTGCAATGGCTGAAACACTGCCAGCACAGAGCTGCCATTCAAGAAAGTCTGTCCCCATCTCTGCCCTGTGTCCCTCCCACCCCCACACACCTACCTTTTAAGATAACTTTGGGAGTTTGAAAACAGTAAGTAAGAAAACCCAAATACAAAGAGGAGATATATTTTTGCTATATCATATGACAAGTCCAGGGTTATAAATTACAAGTGTATAAGCCAGCCCGTAGAACCGGGCCAGGAGTTTTGGTGTATGTGTGTGGAGGATGGGGGGGAGTGAGGAAGGAGTAGAGCAGACCGCAGTAGATATTTCAGCTATACGTGGTACAAAAGTTGATAATCACCATTTTTATCAGATGGTAATTTTTACATCAAGACTGTCTACATGTGAAACAAAGCTCCTATTCATAGAGTATCTGTTTGTTCTGTGCTTGGGAGGTAAGCCTATCTGATGTGGGTTACCACCACTCCTTCTACAAGTATTTATGAAGCACTGACTTGAGCTAACTGCTGGGCTAGAGTCTCACGATACAAATATGAAACTACTACAGCTTCTTTGGGTTCTGGGTACACAAAATACTCTGGTAAGTGCTCTAATGAGAGTATGCAAGAAATACTGTGGAATACTGGAAAAGTAAGTAATTCTGTACAGTGAGATAAAAGTTGGCTTACAGAGGACTTAACATTAGGGCTGTCCCGAATACTGACTGACCAAGGGTGAAAGGGGAGGAAAAAGGAATTGCATTCTGGCAGGAAGTATACTATGTATGATGTAACAGACTGACAAAGGGGCTAGGCATGGTTGACTGTGAATAAAGGATGGAAAACAAAAAAGTAGATGGAGATCAAGGTGGGAAAAACAGATGTAGGTGAGAGGGTCTTGGTATTTCAGAGTAAGACATTAGAATATTATTTTGTAGGCCAACGTTGCAAACAGGTGGAAACATTTTTAAGCGGCCCTATGTCTCTTGAAAAAATTGAAGTCAACATTTAAAAAAATGAAATGTCACAGAAAACCTGAGTTTATGGCTTAAAATAAATTGGAAGATCTGTCAATACTAAACATCATTAGCTTTCGTGTGACTTCATGAGGGCTCATCTCCAGAATTGGTGGCAGCTCCAGGAGAGAAGGTATCTTTGTTTAATTTATTGTCTTATGTTTAGCACAAACATCCCAGGCACATAGTAAATCCTGTATTAGTATTTGGTGAATGAAGGAATGAACACTTGATCTTCATACTAACTGAGGCTGGAGCAAAGTGGAAACAGCTTTAGATGAGGTATGTTCTTTCTTGCTTTTAAAAAATCCCCGTCCAAATTCTATGCTTTTTAAAAATACCCAGATCTCTTCATTTATTTACATTATCTGCTCCTGAAGGCATCTGAGTTTGCCACCCTGGTGCTTAGGAAGCAGAGCTCTGAGAGGTTTTATCAAGGGGAGTAAGATAGACATAGAATCATCCCATATTCGAGGAATGCAAGGAAACAATAACATTTCAAGCGTGGGTCAAAAGAAAAGATCCTTCAACAAAAGTATCCTGAGAAGTGGCAGTCAGAGAAACAATAGGAAAGCCATTGTGAGTAGCAGTACAGAAGCTAAGGTAAGAGGGAAGGGAGAATTTCCACCAGAAGCAGAAGAGGTCCATAGTGCCAAGCACCAAAGAAGGATCCAAAAAGCGTCCATTGGATTTGGCCATTATGAAGTCATTTTCAATAAACTGCTTAGGCAGTTAAAATTTTTCTTGAAACTATATTCAAAACAACTATATAACATATTTCTAATATAACAGTATTCTAGGAAAAAAGAATATCCTATTCAGGAAGGTTAAAATGAACAACTCACATAGCTATTTCACTATACATTATTTTTAAATTTCTGTTGAAAAAGAAATTCCATTGTGTGTTTATCTGATCTGCAACTTCTTTAAAGGTATTTAAAAATGATTTTTAACCACACACAGAAATACATGGATTATAAATATTGAGTTCATTAAGGAACAGATAAGTCTTAACTTTGAACTTATCTAATTTTCATCTTAATATAAAAATCAATGTCCTGTAAATAGGAGAAGAGTGATGAGTGCATTATTACTTATTTCATGAAGATATCCCACTGAATTTTATACCATTTATAAAGTAAACTTAAATTTTTATAAATTTTTCTTAATTTGAAGCTAGACAGCTGGCAATTCATTCTTACATGCTCATGCAAGTCTGGTGCACACATTTATCACAATGCTTAAAAAATCTATAGGCTTGCATTGCATGAAGGTTAAATAAAATGAACATCTAAAAAAGTCATGCTGTTTGCCTATAAAACAGTAGAACTTAGCATATACTACTAATTGTTTCACACTAAATTAGTCATTTCAAGATGTTCTTCAGAACTGGTGTCATGAAAAAATATAATTCTAAAATTCATCCAATTATTATAATTTTAAATTCAATTATATATATTTAATTATAAATATTTAAATATAATTATAAATTCATCCAATTATTATAATTTTTAATGGTCATACCCAATAATTATTAACATGTCTATGGAATTTAAAAGCATTAGTGAAACCATTATTTACTAAAGCTTAGTTTTTCTTCTTAATCAAAATAGTAAATCCCATTAGCTAAAAGATATGCTTATACAAATAGCATTTTTTTTTACTTAAATAATATTCAAATTGGATCCATCTGTAAAGTATGCCCAGGTCTCATTGTTGATATCTCACCTTCAAATAGCAAAAATAAAAAAATATATATTATTTTTATATATATATATACACACACACATATGTATGTATTAGTGTCACTTTATTTATACATATATGTGTGTATAAATTTATATGTATAATCACTTGATTCTATATTTCCTTTCAACTTGTTTGAGAATGTAGATAACAATGCATTCAATCTGGTCATCTTCCCTAATAATTTAAGATTCTTCTTTTTCCCAACAGAATGCCATTTGCATAATATAGGATTCATAGCAGAAGCTGATGGATTGATATACTTTAACACAGCTCAAACATCAAAAGGAAAAGAAGAGAGAAAACAATGATGAAAAACATATCTGTAGGCCATAGCCCAATGAAAGGGAGATCATAAAACTAAGCAATATTGACACATAAAAGTGAAATTACAAAACACAATCATCCTCAAATTAAAAAATCTATGCATGCCTGGGTGACTGCTCTGGAGACACAGTAATCCTTACAATATGCTCTTACGTATTAATTTCCAACATGCACAATTGCCCACATCAGTATTTAAAGGATTTACTAAGCCTATTTTACGAGGCAATCGAACATCACTTTCTCATGGC